AGTGGATTTTGCAGAATATGTGACCTTTATGTCTGCAGCTTCACTTTTCAACACTGAAAGTTACTGCTTTCTTTGACTATGTAGATTTTTGTATGGTATCAAGACGCTCAAGCTTCTCATCAAGACGTACCTTGGAAGTGACTCTGGTTTTCTTTGCTGTTTGTTGCACATTTTACATTATTTTTATAAGATAAGATAAGATAAACTTTATTCATCCCAGCAGGGAAATGTAGGTGTTCCAGCAGCCAGCATACAAACACAACACACAACACATATATACATACATATCCCACCCATACAAAAAAACATGTGTCCACAATACAGTTTGATATATGATATATGCAACTCAGGCTAAAGTTTAAAAGTTTAAATGTCTTCTGTCCTTACTTAAAGGGGAGTCGTTATAAAGTGCAATTGAGAGATTGCACCGGAGAGTGAAAACTCCACCTGCACTTTGTTATACATTCAGCCTATTTCGTCTTTCATGTCAAAATATCTTTATAAAAAAAGAAAAGAAAAATTCTGCATGGTATTTTTGAGGACTGTGACTAATTATATCAACATTTACATGTCTTAATTTCCCTCCTCCATCGTCACCTCCAGGAGAACCTCCCCACCGCCTCCATGACGTCTCCCACACAGTCGACCTCCACCCTCTCTCCTGAAGTCACAGTCATGGTCATGAGTCCACACTGCCACGACTCCTGACACCTCACCTTACGAACACGACACTTCTCCGACACCTGTGAATAAACCATTTCACCATGAAGAGAACATTTAATAAACTTCAAACATCAAACATGCCTTATTTTATTTTTTATACCTGTGCTCTGTCTCTTCTGCTCACATCCTCCTTCATGGCTGTCCGTCCATCTTTTAGCAGACACAGGGTTTGTGTTTTCACACCCAGCCCACAGGTGGCACTGCAGGGGGAACTGTCCACAATCACCTCCAGAGGCAACTTCTCCGCCTCCTCCAGGTGAGCTGAGGTCAGAGGGTGCAGAGCGAGGAGGAGGAGGAGGAGCCTGACAGTCCCAGGATGCATTTTGCTGATTGAAGGGAAATCTGCTGAAAACAAAAAATGTGTTTTTATTTGTCAATGACATAGAGAACATATATTAACTTCTTTGTCAACAAATGTTGTTCAGATCGTATACACTATCTTCATGTAGGCTTCATGAGAAATTGCTTTCTTGTAACTTGTTTGACCAAATTGAACAACTGAAATCAATCCGTCTGCTCACCTGCAGAGCAAATATGACGATGATACTTTGAGTTTTAAGGTCCAGTTTAAGCTGCAGGAAAAATCAAATTAGACAAATCTTCTCATGACAATAACAACAAACCTCACCTGTTTAAGTTAGTTGTTTAAAAGTATTTTTTATTGAATGTGTTGTCATGACAACGAGAGTCCCAAGCAGCAGGTTACAAATCAACAACAGAGTCTTCTTTAACTCCACCAACTCAACTGGTTCCACTAACTAACTCAAACTAGACTGTTGCTAAGCAACCCAAACATTCTATTCAACTGTCCATGGTTACCACAAAGCGGCAAGTGAGGAACTTCATCGTGACATTAGAGTCTGTTGTGAGATTGATGAATAAGGTCAAACTGTAAAAGCTGTAAATGTAAAATAAAAGTATCCAGAGCTCCTGGCTCTGAAGAGGAGGGATACATAGTCCCAGTCCCAGTCCAGTCCCAGTCCAGTCCCAGTCCCAGTCCAGTCCAGTCCCAGTCCCAGTCCCAGTCCATTCCCCAGTCCCAGTCCCAGTCCAGTCCCAGTCCATTCCCCAGTCCCAGTCCCAGTCCAGTCCAGTCCCAGTCCAAGTCCAGTCCAGTCCCAGTCCCAGTCCCAGTCCATTCCCCAGTCCTAGTCCAGTCTAGTCCATGTAAACACACTCGACTTGAGTATCCTGGTTTTGATGGTCATGGAATACCTCTTGTCCAATCAGATTTCTTGGTCAAATCTCTTGTATAAAATATGATATTTATTTATTTATTTGTATTTGAGTCTATCTGATATATTGACCTTAAAAGTAAAAGTTTTATGCAACATGTTAACTTATAAGTTTATAGTCTATGTAAAATATCAAAGCAGTACAAAATAAACCTCCATGTTTTTTCATATACTGGGAACTGCAAACTCTTGAAACATATGTTAAGGATATTTTCAGGAATAAATTCAAGAAATGTGTTAACAAATTTAATTAACGAGTAAAAACATATTCTGGAGTATATTTTATTGTCCTGAAAAGTTGAAGGCACAGTTGCAGTTCTGAACCTGACCACCAGGTGTCAGTGTCAGTCTGAAGTTTTGGATAGCCGTATGTGATTCACATTAAATCTACAGTTGAAAATCCTAATGTCTCCAAAAAAAGTGGAGACAGATGACAGGAGTGAAGTTGTGTTTTCATGTGCATCAGGTATTTTATGTTTCCATCCTGAGGTGACAGGTGACCAAACTGATGAAAAAAAACAGCCTGGCCAGAGCAGCATGGTGCAGTTTGAAATATGACCACCAGGGGTCAGACAAAAACCACAGAGGCTCAGCAGATACCCAGCACAGCAATCAGAACTAAACGTTACAAATGCAGAAGATTTTGTAGTTTTTTGTTCAGGCTACTGATTGATTTATGACGAATAATCAGATTTTAATTTAGGATTGTTTATTATATAGCAGCAAATACAGTCAACTAATACCACAATAACTGTAGAATAAAGGGCAGTGACAGGAGTAAAACGTCAGGAATAAAACCCACACAAGACCTAATGATGATTTTAAAGAGTGATTTTCTTAAAGTGGCATTTGAAAGTAACACTGGGAAAGTCATGTTGACAAAAAACAGAACCGTATTGGTGTCTGTGTTTAGTGGGGTGTGAATCTCTCCTTTACAAGTTTTTTAATTAAAGTTCTCCCAATAAAGAATAAGATTATCTGATGTTATACCTCTTATAACTTGTTTATTTTTTAAGATTTATGTTTTGGCTTTTTGTCCCTTTATTGGAGAGATAGAACAGTGGATAGAGATGGAAATCAGAGCGAGAGAGAGAGAGAGAGAAAGTGGGGATCGACATATGGGAAAGGAGAGACAATGTCGCCCTTGAGCACCAGCACAAAACCAAAACAAACTGCTGTTTGGCCACGCCTCCTCCATACTGAAGCCTCTGCTCTCCCCCAGCGACACACCTCTGACCCTCATACACTCAAGTTCGCACAGAGGAGTCAATCGCAAGAGGCAGACAAAATTGTCCTTGGCTCGAGCTGCAATCACCTGCGTCCTGCATTGTTGTGTTAGCATGCTAATGTTAGCGCTCTTTAGTTAGCTCGTAGCTTCACATTGAATGTAAATTGACACAGAATGACATGTGAAATAATCAGTGAGTATGTTCTTCTTCTTCTCTCTAGTTCTTGACTAAAACAGCTTTTATACACAAGGGGAGGAGCCGGACGTCCCGTCCATGTAAACACGGCTCTGACAACAACACAGCCAGCGGGACTCGAGCTTCTCCCTCATTGTAGACAGTCAGGACTCAGAGACACATTTACACAGGACAGACTGCATTTCTGTTAATTTGATGGGTAAAATGTTTCAGATTCTCCCTTTAATCCTTTCCTCATATTTCAGGCCTCAAACAGATAATGATGTAGTTTGTTGTCTGGTTTTGTTAAGAGATCCAGAAGAACTGTGAGAGTGGTCCTTATCAGGCCTCACCGTGTGTGTGTGTGTGTGTGTGTGTGTGTGTGTGTGTGTGTGTGTGTAAAACCGCACAGTGGAAGGAAGACGATGAGGAGGAGGAAGGATGGGACAGAAGAGGAGAGGGTTTGAACTGGAGGACAAAGGTGAGATGGAGGAGAGGAGGAAGAGGGGGGACGGGTAAGCCCATTAGTGATCTCAGTTTACAGATTCTACATAGAATTGAATGTAAGAGTTTAGTAAGGGAAGTGGGGTTTTTGCTAGTAGGAATAATCCAATAGACACTCCCAATGTGAGCGTAAGTCTCCCTTTTTTAACCATTTGTCCCTCTGTACTCCCGATTGGTCATTGAAACCAATCAAATGGGAGTTTTTCAGCTTCTATGCGGGATATGAGTCATAAGACCTGGCAACCCAACTGGAGGCAGCTGCAGAGGCGTGTCCAGAGGACTGGTATAGGCCCCCCCTTTGAAATCTGATTGGCCACTCCAAAATCTAAATATTTGATTGGCTATTTGCCTTATCGGAGGCGGGACGGACAAATCCACTATTCTGGCAGGTTCAACAGGCTAATGAAGGTACCTTCAGTTGTAAATAAATATTTTGCTCTTTCTATAGAAGGAAAAACATGTGCACACTGTCAAACTAGCAATGTACTATCCAATAAATGTATTACATCATGACATCTAAGCCTTTATGTAACTTACTATTTACAGATAAACTGAGACTCACCAGAAACAGGTGACGGGCGCTTCTTTAGGGTTACAGTTAGGATGTAGAAATGAACCAAGAAATTACAGTGATTATTTTGCAGACCTGTCTTGAGGTACCGATTTTGTTTCGCGCACATGCATGCTTCCAAAGCTGCCAAATAGACTACAAACAAGGCAACACTGAGAAAAAGGGCGTTTTGCCTGAAAGTGGTTTTGGCCAACCGCTGGCTACACCACAATTATAAAGAAGTTTGGTATTATTCCCAGAGATAGCCGATTCAAACATATTGAACAATCCTACCCCACTTACAGTAGATATCTTACATATTGGACTTTTTTAAAGGTGCCCCAAAAACTAAGTTATGGATGCAGAAAGTCGTGTACACAGATTTATCAGCTTCTCAGTTTCGAGTTGCATGACGTTTAAAGCATTTCTCAACTTCCTACAAGGAAGCAACTAGCAGCAGTTTAGAGTGGCACGCCACATGAAAGAGGGAGAGTCAGCACTTGTGAGAGAGTTCTGAGTTAGAGCTGGAACAATGTGAAAACAAGGTTTGTCTTATGTAATCATTCGAGGGTTTTAAAGAAAAGGAGCTTTTAAAGAAGGACGAGTTCGTGGTGGAACAACCTCAGGTTAAGTCAAATCCAGAAGTGTTTTAGTTGAGTTAACAGAAGAAGAGAGTCGCCTCATGAATCCCATTTCCTGAACATGAGGTTTGGACTTTGAGCCGTTTGCAGACAGAGGGGGAGCGATGACCGAACACCTGCTGAAAATCCTGGTTGTTGGGGATGGAAATGTTGGGAAAACTTCCTTTGTTCAAAGATACGTCAACGGACAGTTCAACAAGTCGTACAAGATGACGGTGGGAGGTATGGCTAGTTTGGTTTGTCTCTTTTTTGTACTCTGCATTATGTTTATGTGAGTTAAAGTTGCAAGCTTTGCACCAAAGTTATGGGCAACTTCAGGCCCTCAGATCAAAGAAAAACTCTAAATGTCTCGATAGAACAAACTGTCCTTTGACTTGATGTAAATTCTATAAAATAAAACAGTTCAGTCTTTAGACCCTTATCAGGTAAACACCACATACTATGGATGTGTTGAGAAATCTCCGGTGCATATAAAGTTTTACAATCTTGTTCCAAATACTTCTTGAAACAGACGCAACTATTTCACAAAAATGTCCAATTTTGCAATTTGCACTGGGGGCTCTCGGCTGCCAAATCTTACAAATCCATACCCACACACATCTACACAGGATGCACAGGTGCTTAATCTGTTGGCAGGGATTCAAAACTGTGTGCACAGATTTGAACCGTTTACAATTTGGACCTCAACGGTAGCTTCAAGTGAGTCTGGGGGTAATGCCGATCACAGAGCGAGCCTTTTTGATCAGCTTATTGTTCCTATTTTTATCATCCACACAGATGCTGCCTCCCCCCCAACCCCCAGCAGCACAGCATAAAAGCAAAGATTCTCTGATTAACAATGTAAAGAAGGTTATTGCTATTCTCAAATGTTTTAAGCTTCTTTAAGAGGAAGAGTCTGAACTGAGCCTTTCAATTCAATTCAATTCAATTTATTTGTATAGCGTCAACTCATAACAAGTGTTATCTCAAGACACTTTACAAAAAGCAGGTAAAAGACCTTACTCTATGTCTGTTAACATTACAAAAGAGCAGGTAAAAGACCTTACTCATTGTTATGTTACAAAGATCTGGCCTATCCATCATGAGCACTTTAGGGGGGGGGGCGTCAACCAACGATCTTGAGGAGCCTAAGAGAGGTCAAGAGCTCCCAGGAAAGTAGGTGGTTAGTGACTGAGATTTAAGATACATGCAGTAATATGATGTACTGTATATGCACAGAGAGAGAGAGAGAGAGAGAGAGAGAGAGAGCTCAAGGTGCCAGTTTCCCTGGTAGTCTAAGCCTATAGCAGCATAACTAAGAGCTGGTCTACACCAGCACTAACTGTAAGATTTATCTAAAAGGAAAGTTTTAAGTCTATTCTTAAAAATACAGACTGTGTCTGCCTCCTGGACCCCGGCTGGAAGGCGGTTCCAGAGGAGAGGAGCCTGATAACTGAAGGCTTTACCTCCCATAGTACACTTAGAGACTGTAGGTACCACCAGTAGGCCTGCACTCCGGGACCGCAACGCTCTCGAGGGACAGTACGGCACTAGTAGCTCCTTCAGATAAGATGGTGCCTGGTCATTTAGAGCTTTGTAGGTGAGAAGAAGGATCTTGAATTCTATTCTAGACTGTATAGGGAGCCAGTGCAGAGAAGCCAGGACAGGAGTGATGTGGTCCTATTTCCTGGTTCTGGTCAGTACACGAGCTGCAGCGTTCTGGACTAGTTGAAGAGTCTTTAGAGATTTGCCAGAGCACCCTGACAAAAGAGAGTTACAATAATCCAGTCTGGAGGTAACAAATGCATGAACTAGTTTTTCTGCATCATTTTGCAACAGGATATTCCTGATCTTGGATATATTACGGTGAAAATAGGCTGTTCTTGAAACTTGCCTGATGTGAGAGCTAAAAGACATATCTTGATCAAATAGAACTCCTAGATTCCTAACAGTGGTGCTAGATGCCAGGCTGATGTCACTAAGGACAGTCAAATCACTAGAAAAAGTCTCTCTGAGGTTCTTAGGGCCTAGCACAATAACTTCAGTCTTGTCTGAGTTAAGTAGCAAAAAATGTCTTTCTTGAATACGGCATCAGCGTTCTTTTTCCAATTTACACTTTTCTCAGATGGCACCAGTGTGTTTGTTTGTGTGTGTGTGTGTGTGTGTGTGTGTGTGTGTGTGTGTGTATGTGGGGAGTGACAACACCAATAATCAGGAACTATAATTCTTTGAGCGTCACACCATGTTACTGGATTGGCTTTTGATTCTAAAACTCTTCCTTATTACACAGAACAAGTTTTCTTTTCTCTGCAGTGGATTTCTCCGTCAAGCTGGTGCAGTGGTCGGACACCGAGAAGGTCCGGCTCCAGCTGTGGGACATCGCAGGTATAAAACCTTTTGTTTTTTTCAGCCGATGGATAAATGACCCAAAAGGGACAGATGGATGGCATGTCACAGTGAACACTCTGTCCTCTCTCTCTTTCCAGGCCAGGAGCGTTTCATATCCATGACCAGGATCTATTATAAGGGCGCGTTGGGCTGTGTGGTGATGTTTGACGTCACCAGCTCGTCCAGCTTCCTCAGCTGTCGCCATTGGAAACAGGATTTGGACAGTAAGGCCACGCTGCCCAACGGACACTCCATCCCTTGCATCCTGTTGGCCAACAAGGTGATTCAGAGCTTTTTTACACCGATGAATTATTCATCATCGAACCCTCTGGCTTTGATTTACTGTAAAAAAATAAATAAATAAACAAAGTGCGTCGCTACTTGATGGAAAAACAATTCCAGCCCCAGTTTTCCATTTCAAATTAATTAAATAAACATTTTAAAAAGATAAATATAGTGTGTGTGTGCACATCCAGACAAAATGTATACAGGTGCAGGACAATAAATGCACCAACTGAGAATAAAGAGAGAACGGTCTGCACACTCTTCAGCTCCCAGTGGACAGTTTTATTAAGACAGGGCAACGATTCAATCTAAAATATCTTCTTGTAGATCAAACTTCTTAAGGCCTGAAGAAGATGTCGTCTAAATAAAAGTGTCCATTGGAAGCTAAACAGTATTACTCCATTGTTGAACATGCTACACACACAATGGCTGAAAAAACACATACATGCACAAACAGGATCTTGGGGGGGGTTAGGTGACTTGCTTAGGGGCACCTCGGCAGTACTGAGGAAGTGGACTGTCACCTCTCCAGCTACCGGAGCGATTTTCCAGACTTTGTCTGCACGGGACTTGAACCGGCAACCCTCCAGTCCCTACAGACTGAGTTACTGCCCGCCCCATTTCTGTAACATTGTAAACCCCCAAAAATGTCTAAATTTGATAAGACCTCAGTTGTATCGTTTCTTAGTTTCTCTGCTTATATAAATGCTTCTGTGTGTGTGTGTGTGTGTGTGTGTGTGTGTGTGTGTGTGTCTGTTGTCCACAGTGTGACCTGGCTCAGAGGGTCGTGTCCGCTGAAAGCATCAACAGGTTCAGTAAGGCCAATGGCTTCCTTACATGGATGGAGACTTCAGTCAAAGACAACAAGAACGTGGGAGAGGCCATGAGGTAAGAGAGAGAGAGAGAGAGAGAGAGAGAGAGAGAGAGAGAGAGAGAGAGAGAGAGAGAGAAAAGACATCTAAAAGTCGAGAGTACAGTTTGTCCTGATGAAGCAATCTAATGACTTCTACAATATGCTCTCAAATACTATAAAACTGTCAAAGACTACAGTTTGATAATGTCAGGAAGTTTTCAGGAGTTGCTGGATGAAAACACACCTGATGATGCAAGAAATTTAAAACTCCACTGATGTCACTTTTCTCTGTTGTGTTTTAGGAGGTTGGTGCAGGAGGCTTTGTCGGTTCAGTCCAGTCTGGACTCGTCTCAAACTGAACCCCAAGACTCAGATCTCCTTCAGCTGGACTCAGAGGACAACAGCAGTGGAGCAAGATGCTGCTGAAAAAACACAAACACAGCCAGGAGCTAATCAATGGACTGACTTACTGAGAGAGGAAAAACGATGAGGATGAAGAAGAGAGGGATGAAGAGGAGCAGAAGGAGCAGAGGGGAAGGTGTGTGTGCGCTTGCCAACGAGGTGCGGAGCGTGCTCAGTGCAGCCGCCACGCACCCTCCTCCAGCAGGCTGAGTCAGGCAGACACATGGCATCCTCGTGCAAACGGTGTGTAGGGGGGGATGTTGCATGTGTGTGAGATGAAGCTCCCACATGACATGCAAAGTGGAGTTTTAAAAATTGAGCGATGAAGCGGTCTATAGTATTGTCAGAGCAACTTTGATAAACTGCACAATCCTGAGAATAACACAGAGATGAAGCAGAAGGCAACTCAGCTGCTCCACAAATAATATAATAATAACAAACTTTATTTTTATAACACTTTTCAAATCAGGGTAACAAAGTGCTCTTTGTAAGAGCAAAATAAAAGATAGAGACGTGTGAGGAAGGCAATGATTCATAATAAAAAACAAAATAGTGAGAGATAAAAGTGCACGAGTTCCACAAATCCCCAACAAGCACATCTTTAAAAATGTGTTTTTAAAAGAGGTCGTTCCAGAGGGTCGGGGGTCCCTGATGGAGAAGGCCCGGTCACCTTTGGTCTTCAACCTCGATTGTGAAATGGCGAGCAGAGCCTTGGCCGAGGAGCTGAGGTTACGAACGGGTATATAAGAGGTGAGGAGATCAGAGATATGTACTTCGGTGCAAGTCCAGAGCGTGCTTTATAAGTTAACAATAAAATCCTAAAATCTGTATTGGGAGCCAATGAAGGGACGCTAAAACAGGAGGATGTGGTCTCTCAATGGAGGTCGGCGCTCTCAGAGAAGGCCCTTAGATGTTCATATTCTGATTGGACACGCCCCCTGCTTTGGATCCCGTCTGAGAGAAGGAGTCCATTGATTTATATTAATAATACAAACATATCTGTCTGACCAAATTGTCATGAGCTTATATCGACATTTTCCTTTTTTCTGAAGTCCTGAATGTACACCGCACAGAAACATGACGGTGTTGTGAATAAATTAGCGATACTATTCCTATATGTTCTGTGCAGTTTCTTGAAGGCAGATGGCTCCAGATAAATGTGATAACCGCGTCCGCCAACGCTGCCGTGGAGACGAAGTCTGTCAGGACAGCAAATCAGAGAACACTCTGTCATTACCATCAGGAACATGACACACACCTCAGTCGCTGCAGAATTAATCTAACACAATTTGAAAGCGAACATATTCTAACCGCTGAATTTGATTAATTAATTTCCACTTCAATCAAGAACGAAATAGCAACAGTTCTTGTTTGTTTGAAGTTTACATCTATATACTGTTTATATATGAAAACTTCAAGCTGGAATAAAATGTGAAATTTCCAACCACTTTATTATTCTTACTCGCGTACAAAATCGTCATATAAACACATAAATGTTGGGGTTGTGTGAAAACAATTAAAGCACTTTTCGCAAATGATCAGGGGGGCATAGCCCGATTCAAGGCTTTTCAAAACCAATTATTGATGATGTCAAATTCAATAAGTCTGCTTCTCAAGGTCAATAGCCCTCACACGTACACTCAAAACCAAAAATAAATGTCGCTTTCATGTGCAGCCTGCACGACTGCGTTTTTGAGGAGATTCCATTTTGAGCTCCTTTGAGTATTTGTTCTTCCTTGTGGGACTTTTTGTCAGTATGTTTTTGTGTGGGCTTCATTTCTTATCGGTGACTTGGACGAGAGCTGGAACTGTGACTCAGTCGTGCTCACTATCTCTGGAGAACCCTCAACACATAATGGGTGGTTTGTTGGACAGATGGACTTTTAGTCATTGTACGGTTGTTTGGTCATTTCACAATATGTACGTCATGTGTTTTTACGTTCATATAAACGGGGGCGCACAGTGTGTCAGCCAGTACGAGGGGCTCTTCAGTTGGACTCATTTTCTGTAATTGGACGTTTCTGCTGCACCTGAATGTTTCTTTTTTTCAGAGGCTCAATCTGTGACTCCAAAAATAAGAAAGTCACTGTGCAGCTAATGGAGGAGGACAGAACGTATCAACCTGGTAAAATACATTCATCCATGGACTGTATGGACGTAGCCACAGTGATGTCACTCTTTGGTTTCTCTACACCGCCATGTTGGTTTTCAAGAGCCAGACATTACCAGAATCGGAGGACAGGGTGGCATAATACTCTCTCACTCACACAAACATGATACAATAAATGATTCTGAATCACACTCACACTGACAATATTCTGCACACGCACACAATTAATATTACCACAGACTGTTTTCTGAACTAGCCAAACACAGCTGTTGCGGCACTTCAAAGACGGTCAACTAACTTCAAAATAACACGACGTATTTGCAGTAACAGAAGTCTGTTTGTCTCTCATTAAAAAATCATCTGTGTCACTTCGTTATTGCATTGTTTCATCACTTTTGTTCACCTGAAAAAATAGAGAAACAAAAGCACATCGACTGTGCATGGCTGCATATTACTGGACATCTGGTTCTACTGGATAATGCATGGCACCAAAGACCCCAAGCTGCCCCCCCCCCCCCCCCCAAAAGGTGCCTGTGTGTGAGCTTTAATCATCTTTAAGAACACTGCAGGTGCTTTTAAATGCAAACTTTTATCACATTATGACTGAACAAGATACAAAAAGCAGTGGTTGACACCAGGGTGCGATCGACAGCTTTCACAGCAGCGCAAATGAAACGCGCTAACTTGGCAAACAGTCTCAAGTTTGTTTTAACTGAACCAGAAAGGATAAGTATTAAAACGCCCTGAGAGGTGGAGTGGAGGCGGGCCTTAAGCAAAATGCTACAGGTCGCCATTTTATCAGTCAAATCACCCATGCCCCTAATTATGCAAAGATAGCCTATGTCTAACTCTTAGCCTCAAAATCACCAAAACGATTTGGTTGGACACCAAATTCCTAGCCCTGCAGTTTTAGCCAATAAAGGAATAAGATATTCAGAACAAAATTGTTTGGTTTAAATAAAAAATAATTAAAGAAACCATCTATTTAAAGTTCACTTCTTCTTGGATGCAGATGGATGATGTCAATGCAGACCGGCATCAGCTCATCTCTCTTCCAGGCCTTCATGACGCTCTGAAGCATCAGCGTGGGAGGCCTCCCACTGCTTAATGTGGGCGTGCTGACAGAGAGCCCTCTCATACCAAAGTTGTCTTTTGCTCCGAGCAGAAACCAGGGACAGAAGGAACTGTTCCTCTCGTGTCATAACCACCGGCCACTGCCCCAGACCACCGGAAGATGTAGGTCTCTCAGATTTCATTCAGTTTTTGAGATGGCTTGATTTCAATGAGTATTGTACACAGCAATACTAATGCAAGCTGCAGTACCTGTATGTTGTGCGCCTCCATGGCAGAACACAGAGCTAAACGTCTCTCAGCTCAAAGAGTTCATTTAGCGGTGGTAATGAGAGCTACTACATCTCCACCTGGGCACCCACAGCCACGTCGATAAAATATTGAAACATTCAGCGTCACTGATAAAAACCCCACCAAATATCAAATATGTTTTAAAAAAGATTGATAATAATATTCACCCTTATACAAGTGTTAGGGTCCTGCTCCACTTTTCAGAAAATGTGTGCTCAAACAGCCTTCTCAAATCTGTTTAAGAGGAGGAGAATATGTCACCTTTAATCTAATCATGAGTTATGACAACCCCACTGCAGGTGGAAGAAAGAGTTTCCCTACAACACTTCAAAATAATGTGTTATCTCCACACGGCCTTGAGACCAGACGCCAGCCCACAGAGCACAACTTCAAAGGAGTCACTCATGGAGGTGTGATGCGTCTGCCCTTCACCTCCGCCCCCGTCAGCGTCAGCAAACAGACAGTTTCTGCATCATGAATTACGTTCAACACTTTGATGACTGAGTTGTCCAAGGAGAAGCAGACAAAGTATTTGTACCATCTGGAGGTGTGCTCTAATGAAGGTCACATGGCTTTAAGCTTATCTCTTTCAAGGAAATAAAACAACACAGTTGCTGTGTATGTGCCTCTTTTTAAATCTTCTCAGGAATTATTTTCTCTGTAAGGTCCGACTCTTGTTGTATAAATAATATAATTATATGATAAAATGTTAATTAGACGTCAGCTAATTGTTTCTATGGCTAAAGAATAAAGCACATTGGACATTTCCTGAACAGAATAAATGACAACAGGTCGGACTTATGATGCAACCTTTTGGAGTCTCCTCTGGTTCTTTAATCAACAGATTCTCGACCATCTGCTGGGCGAGCTAAAGAGAGGGAGAGGAAGAGGCAGTCAGATGGCAGAGACAAACACAAACAGCATCCACGTAAATCTTGTTGCTGCCCAACGCAAAAAGAACAAAACCGGGTTAAAATAACCTCCACCTCTCATTCTATTACTCACAAAAGTTCCTGATTTAGATTCTGGTTTAGCTCACAACAACTGTGTGGTTATATTGTATATAGCCTTAAACTATCTGCACAACAACATCAGTGATTAGTCCGGCCCTGGACTTATTCACACTGTGCAATCTGTCTGTGCATTTTGTGCAATATTAATACATTCCTTT